TTACTGGCTTCAAGTCTTTAGAGCTCAGACAGGGCTCTTTAAACATGATACTCCAGTCAAAGTTTTCCGTTAATAAAACCACTATTAGGAACTGGTCTTATTGAATCTATGCAAAGAAATGTATTGCCATGACTTATTTAGCATTGCCAAATTTCGGAGGAATTACATAAGGAGAAAAACATACTGATCTACTCTAAGATTTTCTGATTTTCCTTGCCAATTCCTTTTAACAAAACAGTAATTGTTGGCATTAAACTTTCTTTCTATGCATAACCATGCCTTAGACCTTCTATTCTAAACAGGCCTTTTCCAGCTTACTACCCCTGACATGGGCATGGTGACTCAGGCCTGCAAGACAGTATTACAGGCTGCCAACTGTTAGCTGTCTCTCAACAGAGACCAAAACCTGATGGGCACCGTTCCTGCCCATTTGGGAACCTGCCCTCTTGGCAGCTAGCCATCCTTTACTTTTGGGGGTCACCCCACATAGTTCCCTTCCAGGACAGCCAGCACACATTCAGACCGCGGTCAGTCAGACTCTCCAAACTGGGGGGTCCCTGGATGATGTTGGGAATCCCGGACGAGCCCCCAAATGTTATGCCCAGATTTCAGGATCCCCAAGAAACCAACATCAGGGAGCCAGCCAGTCCGATGTAAAAGCATAAGAGTCTTTATTCGAGCTAGCTCGGCTCCCCCACCTTGCCGACACAGCGACAGGAAGCAGAGAGAGCAATAAAGTTTTCTTAAAGTAAAAAAAACAAACAAAAAACCCTTTTCATATCTTACCTTGGCAAACATTGAATTGAGCTGCTTCCCAGAGCCATAGTAACAACCCTGGGAGAGAAAGAGCTTCACTTGTTCTTTCACCTGTTCTTCATCCAAATGCCAACAGTTCTCATCATCAATGCTGGCTCCAGCTGTGGGGTCAGGAGCACCTGTGAGAAATGGGAACCATGAAATGAATTCCCTGAGTTCATATGCTTCACATTTAGCAGGAGTGGAAATTTGTGAGTGTATTCAAAAACATTTGCAGATGACATAATAGCATATATAGAAAACCCTATACTTTTATAAATTTATACTCAAAATATCTTTCATATCTTGGTTCACCTCAACAACACCAATTAAAACACAGTTTTAGCTATTTACACATCCCTTTCCCCTAGTAGCCTGTTAGCTCATTGCTCACAGTTGAATTGCAAGTTGAATCCATGGTTAAATCACCTATGGCACAGTGCTGGTAATGTGATAGACACCCAGTGAATGTTTGTGGAATGAAAATGGAATCTTATCTCACTTTCTCAAAGATGGAGTCTCGTAATAGATTTTAAGAAACCTGCCTCCAAGTGACAATAGACTGTAAGTCAATACTGTATAGGTATGGTCACACAAAGGTTACAAATTTATGTCATGTTTAATCATTTTTCTTTTTCTCTATATTAAAGCCCTGCTTAAATGAAATCCAGTTCTGCACAGCAAAGTTTTTCTGGTGCATCTTATTCCCGAGGGATCAGGAGGGTTCACACATTCATTTAGTCCACAAATACTAATTAACACATATGATCTTCCACTTTATAGTAGGGTAGTCCCTCCTTATCCATTAGGTATACATTCCAAGACCGCCAGTGGATGTCTGAAACCACAGATAGTACTGAACCCGATATATACAATGTTTTTTTCTTATACATACATACCTATGATAAAGTTTAATTTATAAATTAGGCACAGTGAAAGATTAGCAATAATAACTAATAATAAAATAGAATAATTATAACAATATACTGTAATAAAAGTTACGTTATTGTATTGTACTCACCTTTTCACTTAAAGGAAGCACTTTACAACTTTTCTTTGGTATATCCGAATTGCCAACATCACTACTCTTGTGCTTTGGGGCCATTACTAAATAAAATAAGGGTTACTTGAACACAAGTACTGTGATACCAGGGCAGTTGTGATAACCAAGATGGCTAATAAGTGGCTAACAGGTGGGTAGTGTATACAGTATGGATATGCTGGACAAAGGCATAATTCATGTCCTGAGTGGGACAGAGCAGTACAGAGTGAGATTTTATCACACTACTCAGAATTGTGTGCAAATTAAAACTTATATGAATTGTTTGTTTCTGGAATTTTCACTTCAATATTTCACACTGCGTTTGACTACAAGTAACTAAAACCATAGAAAATGAAGCTGCTAAGGGAGGACTACGATATCCATTATTTGCTACTTTTCTTCAAATGTATTATTCTAACCAGAGTCCTGATCATATCACTTCCCTGCTCAAAAGTCTTCATGATGATTCAGAATCTTACTAAATTAAGTCCAGATGCCTTAGAACAGTAGATGTCAACCTTCTGGCCCTTTAAATACAGTTCCTCATGTTATGACCCAACCATAAAATTATTTTCGTTGCTACTTCATAACTGTAATGTTGCTACTGTTATGAATCGTAATGTAAACATCTGATATGCAGGATGGTCTTAGGCGGCCCCTGTGAAAGGGTCGTTCGACCGCCAAAGGGGTCGCAACCCACAGGTTGAGAACCACTGCCTTAGAGTTTGGCATTCAAGGCCCTCCATGCACAGGCTCTATCTTTCATTTCTAGCACTGTCTTCCCTATACTTATGCTATGTTCCAGCTAGAAACTTAGTATTCCCAGAAGTCAACAACATTTCCTTATGACTTTAGTTATGCTTTTCTCTTTACTTCCCTCCCTCTTTCCCCAGCCTATTTTTTGGCTAAAAACAACACTTCTCATTGTCAGTATTTCCTCAGATCTAGAGTCAGGGCCACAATGAGAAATGGAAACCATAAAATAAGTACACAGAGAGGCTAATGCTGCCCAGGTTCATGTACTGCTTAGTTCACTTGGCAAGAGGGACTCTTTTTTTTACCCCCTTTCTGAATTAGCTATATACCTCATTGCCACCAGTCAAAGTATATATGTACAAATAAAGGCAGTAACACTCTTCTGAGCACTTTATTATTACTTCTCTTTAAGACTTGTTGCATTTTGTTTTACATTGAAATTTTAATTTTTCATATATTCCCAACTAAATTGATTAAGGTTAACTGATTATAATTGCAAAAATATCCCAACCTCTAAACATAAAATAAAGCAACTAAGTAGATTTTTAGCAACAAAAATATTGTACAATTACCATTCACTTGGTTGATTTCTGAGTTGGAGGATAGAATCTCATCTGCCAGTTTCTGTGCAGTAGGAAGAACTTCAGTGTGGTGGGCTGTGATTAAATATTGAATAAACTTTTGTAGCTGGTCCCTATTCATCTGGAAAAGGGTTTCTGAGATAGGAAGACGCAATTTGACTTGGTCTGGTTTACGGATCCTGTAGAGTGAGAGTGCTACCACATGAGCACAGTAGAATATGTCCTTGTTGCCACAGCCACATGTCACTGAAGTGATTTTGCATCGATCAAAACTGATTGCAACTTTGTAAGTCATTGCTGGTTCAGAAGTAGTGGCTGGTTCAGTAACTGTGCCACTGAGATGGAAGCCTAAGGAAACAAAAGAAAGTGTGTTTAGAAATTCTGTAGTAAAAAACTTGAAGATTTTCATCTTGCATCTTAATTAATCAATTCAGATACTATTTGCTGAGTATCTCCTATATATATGGTAGCCCTGCCAAAGATAGGTCAATGCAACATGGGTATTGCTCTTCAGGAACACACAATCTAGAAGGAGTCTTTATCCTAGAGTCCTCCTGAACTAATAAGACAACTTTTGTTTGTACATATGTACATTTTTCTGGGGAGATAGTTCATAGCTTTCATCACAAGTCTCAAAAAGGTTAATAAGGAAACCAAAATAAGTTAAAAAATATCTGTAGTAAATTTTGAGCTCTATCTATTCATCTCAAGGCTCATACCAGCACCTACTGGGCAGTAGTTTGGGGGACAAAGAGTTTGCAAGTGAGAGGTGCTTTCTCCCTCAACCTGATTTTCAGCTTTAATCTCTCTACTGCAGCCATGTAGCTGGCTAACGAGGGATGGTAACTAACAGGATGTCTGATCATAGAGAGCCTTGTGCTATATGGGCCTGAACAGCAAGGACTCATGTGTTTGGCCTTCCCCTTCCCGTGTGTATGTGTGTGTGTGTGTGCGTGTGTGCGTGTGTGTGTGTATGTGTGTGTATGCAGTTTGTATTCCCTGGGAGTGCCTCCTGTCATTACAGGGGGCTTATCTGTGGTGCAATGTCCCAAGAGAGCAGATGCAGAGGTCTGTGTTAGGACTGCCTCTGAGCTGTCTTCCCTCTCCAGGCCAAGATGCCTTACTCGGTGCAGCTTTTCACTCAGCCACATCACTGTGCTTGAGAAATCATGGGTCACTGACTGGATATTGTGCAGAACTATTATTATACCTGGTCTTTCTTCCCACTCTGGGATTACTGTGCAATAAATACATATACACTGAGTGGCCAGATTATTATGACCGGCCAGATTATTATGACCACCCCATCAGTACTTTGGTGGGCCACCTTTTGCCTTCAATACTGCAGCGATTCTTCTTGGCATTGACTCCACGAGATGTTGAAAGGTGATGCGAGGAATCTGACACCATGCCTGATGAATAGCACTGTCCAGTTCTGTGAGATTTGATGGTTGCGGAACCAGCTGCCTGATGGCTCTTTTAACTTCGTCCCACAAATGCTCAATTGGATTGAGATCTGGTGATTGTGGGGGCCACCTAAGCAAGATAAAGTCTCCCTCATGTTCTTGAAACCACTCCTGCACAATACAAGCACCGTGGCATGGCGCATTGTCTTGTTGGAAGAAGCCATCTCCATTGGGATACGCCATCAACATGATAGGATGAACTTGATCAGCAACGATACTTAGGTATGTTGTGCTATTCAGACGTTGTTCCACACTAGCAATTTCAGCGCGAAATTATAGCTAATTTGCCTACAAATGTCAGGTGGTCATAATAATCTTGCCACTCAGTGTATATCAACAATTGAATCTAAAAAAAATAAATGAACAAGCAGAACAGAAACAGACTCATAGATACAGAGAACATTTTGATGGTTGTCAGATGGGAGAGGGGTTGGGAGAATGGTGAAAAAGGTGAGGAGATTAAGAAGTACAAATTGGATGTTACAGAATAGTCATGGGGATGTAAATTCAGCATATGAAATATGGTCAATAATCTACACTAATAAAAGAGAAACATGGTAATTGGCGTACGACTGCTACCCTTTTCATTGGCTAATCAGTGAGTATATGCAAATTAACTGTCAGCCAAGATGGCGGCCGGCAGCCAGGCACTGAAGCGAGCAGGGAGGCTTGCTTGCTGCAGACTCCAACGTTCGCCGCCTCACTTGCCAGCCTCTCAGCTGCAACTCTAAGCAACTATATACTATGTTGCAAATAAGAAGCTAAACAAAACCCCAGAAAAGGGCTTCCATTCAGCCGGGCTCGGACCGCAACATTGTATCGATGTTTTCAGCAGCGAGGCCTCAGAGCTAAAGCTGGCCCAGAAAAAAAAAAAAAAAGAGAGAGAAGAAAACAAGGAGCGGTTGGAAGCTTTAGTCACTCGCCAGCCGGAAAACAGCCCTCAGCCCCTCACCCAGACTGGCCAGGCACCCCAGTGGGGACCCCCACCCTGATCCAGGACACCCTTCAGGGCAAACCAGCCAGCCCCTACCCATGCACCAGGCCTCTATCCTATATAGTAAAAGGGTAATATGCCTCCCAGCACCGGGATCAGCGGAGCAGCGAGGCTCCCGGCACCGGGATCAGCATGACAGGGGGCAGCGCCCAAACCCCCTGATCGCCCTGCGGCTCTGTGTGTGACAGGGGGCGGGGCCACAACCTCCCTATCCGCCCTACTCTGTTCGTGACAGGGGAAGGCACCCCAACCCCCTGATCTGCCCTGCTCTGTGCCTGATAGGGGGGAGCTCCCCAATCCCCTGATTGCCCTGCGGCTCTGTGTTTGACAGGGGGGAGCTCCCCAACCCCCTGATCGACCCTGCTCTGTGTGTGACAGGGGGCAGTGCCCCAACCCCCCAATCGGCCCTACCCTGAGCGTGACTGAGGGTGACATTGCAACCTCCCGATCCGCCCTGCTCTGTGCATGACGGGGCGGCGCCCCAACTCCCCAATCGGCCCTGCTCTGAGCCTGACCAGGGGCTGCACTTAGGGATTGGGCCTGCCCTCTGCCACCCGGGAGCAGGCCTAAGCCAGCAGGTCGTTATCTCCCGAGGGGTCCCAGACTGCGAGAGGGCACAGGCCGGGCGGGGGGCCCCCCCTCCCCCCGCCCCCCGAGTGCACAAATTTTTGTGCACCAGGCTTCTAGTTCTATTATATAAGTGATTCATAATTTATTTATTTCAATTGCTGAACATTTAGGTGGTCTCTGTATCATTAGCAATTTGCTGCTATAATGACCAGCAGAACGAATGGTCGCTATGATGCGCACTGACCACCAGGGGGCAGACGCTCAATGCAGGAGCTGCCCCTAATAGTCAGTGCGCTCCCACAGGGGGAGTGCAGCTCAACCAGAAGCTGGGCTCACAGCTGGCGAGTGCAGCAGCAGTGGCAGGAGCCTCTCCCGCCTCCGCTGCAGGTGGAGGGTAAGGAGCGAGGGGTCCCAGACTGCGAGAGCCCTGGACTGCAAGAGGGTGCAGGCCAGGCTGAGGGACCCCCTATTTCCCCCCAGTGTACGAATTTTGTGCACTGGGCCTCTGGTATTCTAATAACTATGTATGGTGTCAGATCGGTCCGAGACTTATCGGGATTGATCACTTAGGAAGTTATATAATGTCTGATCACTGGGGTGTACACTTGAAACTAATATAATACTATATGTCAACTGTAATTAAAAAATAAAAATGATTAAAAAAAATAAAATAAAACGCCACAGCCTATAAAAAGTTAGAATTGGGATATGAACACAGGTAGTTTGGCTCCAGAGCCTTCATTCTTAATTATTACGATATATTGAATATGACTATGCAGTTTAAATTATGTATACAAAACTTTATAAAAGTAATTAGCAAGTACAATTCTACAAAAAATACACTAATGACAAGTCTGTAAACTCTGGTGTTTGCCTGATTTCCTGGGCAATTGTTCGAGGCAACTGAAACTGACTGCTCTGTGATGCTCTCACAGTTGGAATGACGGCTCATGAACTCATCTGTACAAGACAATGTCTCAGCATAATGAGTGAATCATCTGCTGAGAGTTCTAAAGGAAAGCACTTCTCAGTACAGCCCTCTGACACTATTCAGTCTTTTGTGTTTCTGAGTGCAAGAAAGGCTCTAATAAAGCTTGGGCAATTAAAACCACTTTGCTCATTGCTCTTTTGATTCACCAGACCCATGAGCAGGTGCTAATGCATGAAAATGAATATAATTTCAGCCAATGGCAGGGAAAGGAGAGCTGTGGTTTATAGAAAGAATTATTTTCCTTATAGTCAGCTTAAGAGTATATTGTGTGTGTGTGTACACACTATATATACACTAGGTAACTCCTTTGAATGAGTATGTTTTCCTCTTGAATACATTTGGTTTTGATGATATTGTATCATGTACATTAGACTTTCTCACTTAATTTCTGTCTCCTGGAAGGCCACAACAGTATACCAGCAGTCACTCTTTCTCTTTTCTGTCACCTAGCAAAACAGTAGCCACACAAAGGAATAAACAGTGATAGCGACATCCTCAAAATAACTAATTTCCTTTCCAGAAAGCCTTAGTCAAAAGCTAGATAATACTCTCTAAACAAGAACCCTGGAATGGCTCTGTGGACTCATACTATGATAGAAAGAACGGAGGAATCAGGGTGCTTGCATTTTAATTCCAATATATCTCAATTCTTCTTTGTCTCAGTTTCTTAATTATCAAAAAGACACAATAATACTTATATACCTATCAGACTCATGTGAAAAGTAATTTGTAAAGAACACATTTCCCAGAGATATCATTCAATAGCAATCCCAACTGGCCAGGGCCAGCACCTATATCGGTTCACAGGAAGCAGATGGCGCCCACAACACTGGGTGTGAGTGAGTGAGATTTCAGTGAGGAATAGTATTGTTATTCGGGAATACAAATGATGCTGCCCCATTACCCTGGGAGCTACTTGGTTTGTTTGTATTAGAGAGGTCACCCTAAGCTTCTCAGAGCAGCTGAGTAAGCTGGAGGGCCCTTCTAGTGGCCATCTGCTCCCCTCCCAGACTCCTCTAGCAAATCAAGAGGTTTTCCTTGTATTAACCTCTGGCCCTTCTCAAGCACCAGCTTCTGCAAGCAATGGTCTCCACTCTCCATCTGTGCCAGTAACCAGTTAAAGAACAATGAGGCTTCCCAAGCCCAGGCATTCACTTACAGAGATGCCCTTGCATTACCTAGTTTTCCAGTACTCTTTTACTTGAATCTCTATAAAGGAAGTAGGTATGTAGTTTAAAAGACAGAGTTATTTTTCTTTTGTTATTTTAGAAACATTTTATGTAGAAAAATAAAATGGGAAGAATTTGTTTGGAAAATTCATTAAAAA